ATAACTAAGTAACACCTTTCTCTATGCTGCCCACCCGAAATACCAAAATTCACAAAAAAAAATTTAAGAAGACGAAAGTGGTGGAAAGCACACCTAATACCCTTATAGTCTTATCAAATTTTCCAGCAGCCAAGCCATTGGTCCCAAATTTTCCCGAAGTCAAGACCATTTTTTGCGCTGCTCCAATTGAAGTACAGAAAGCATAGCTTGTCACACCCGTTTTTTTTGTATAGCATCCAAACAAGAAAATTCCAAACGGTATTTAAACGCGAGTACAGTAAATTTCTCTCAATATTTTCATAACCTCTCGAACTAAAATTGTTTATTTCAACTACTCTACCAAAACCAACAATCACTTCGTCATGGCACCACTCTATTACAAAGAAGCAAGTCCAGCATCAGAAGCTCTAGTATTCATTACCCTCACACCAATACTATTTTGGACTTTCTCGCAAAAGGTCAAGTTAAGGTTAAAAGTTAATAATGCTGCATAAAGTTCTCCCATTTTTCAGCCAGATAAAACAGTGCAATAGGCTAACGAATTGGTGAATTTAAACTCCCCAAATTAAAACTAAGATCCTGTAATGCTTAAAAATGTTATGGAACTTTATAAGGAGTTGCATTATTAAATTTAAAGGTGGTAGATTAAGATATAGCTACTTTGTATTTGATATGATAGTGCTGTAAAGAAGTTGAATTGTGATTGAATACGTTATAATCTTGATTTTTCGACGATTTTATAAAAGCCTGTTACGTTCCTTTAGTGTTTTTGCTAAAAGCCTTTCATATAATATTTTTTAATTGCGTCGCGTCACCGTAAAGAAGCGGGTGATATTTTTGCTCACATGGAGGGTCAGAGCAGGTTACTGATAAAGAAAAAGTCAATGCAAAATGTGTCTGAATGAAATTTATCAGCATCAATTTATTTAGGTGAAGATTATGAATTGATATAACTTTATGTGTTATTTTGGTATTGTCTGGAATCCCCCATGTACATTTGATCCAAACAACAGTGCAAGCAGCCTCGGCCCATTAATGTATTTCTTATATAAGCAAAAATAATTTTTATATACGAGAATACAGAGCCGATAACATCCTTATTCAATTAATTTGGATGCATCGCAACTATCTGATGAACTCGCTTATTTTCAATTTTCGAGTATTTTCAATTCTTACCTTACAATAATCTAAAAAAATTGTTCGGCCGATCACTCTCGTTTATTGAACTTTGAAATAAATCCCTTGAGTCGTACTTGCCAACTGGCTATGCTACAGTCACAACAAAATCTCTGAGTTGTGCAAGTCTTCACTTCTTAAAATAAAATAAAAACTAGGGAGTATAACTTAATTGTAACAAAAAAATAAAAAGCAGTAGACCGAGGGAAACTCTTAACACAATCCTTAATACTAGAACTTATTACACTAATCACGAAAAGCTGCGTGTAGGTAAATCAAATACAATTTTAATAATTACCGCTACTAAAGAGAAGGACCAGGACTACAGAGAAACCAACGTACTAGGCGATCATAAAAAAAAGCATCGGAATATGAACGAGATTTCCAGAACTGCTGTGAGCGAAAGTCTCCAAGATATATGTTAGCCGGAGTCGAGACCACCCTTTGATTGGTATATTAAGCAATCGATGGCTTTACGTGTCAACTCTTAAAAGCTATGCGACTTACGCCCCTTCAAGTCATGAAAGAATTCGTTCACCCCAATCTTCTTTTAGTCCTTTTCTCAATTATCCGGGATCATAAACTGCCCTTTTTCGTTTTTTCTTTTTCACAGCACACCTCGGCTCGTCCCCTCCGATCCCCATCCCTTAGTCGCGCAACCGTAATCATCGATGTCGCCGTGATACGGAACCAATCGCATATCAAAAGAGGAATCAGTGACTACACCTCCTCTCCAGATGCCCTTAATTCTCGATAGAATTTTTCATGCAGCAGTATGATTCCAGACAAATTCATTAAGAGACCCTTCCAAGCCTGTAACACTTTTTACTTTCTTTTAATGTTGGATTATCGATTTATTTCAAAAATTAAATAAAAAAGTTTTTATAAAAACTTTTCGTCTGTAGAGATATCAGGGCCCAAAAAATTTTATCTTATTTTAGTCGCCTATATTACGAAATAAATATTTCAACATTTAAATTCCCTTTTGTCTATTCTGGCTCTAAAATTATGCTATTTCCGTAGAAGTTGTTCCTAGTCATGCCTGGGTCTGCGTTGAGTTAACTTAATAGTGAAGCTATAAAAGAGAAATAAACTTGAGCAAATAAGTCAGTCTTAATGTTTTTAACAGTCAAGCAACACAATTATTCTTTATATTAAATTATCAAACTGACTGAGCTCTACGGAGAAAGAAGGTGTTACGACGATATCGTCTCTAGCGTAACACCAGGAAACATCTAGAAAAAGCACTATAACTAGCTCCGATGTTTCAAAGCGTTATGGTTTTCCTGTCTACCAGCCTGGTGCTAGAATAACAGGCCAGAGAAGACTTCTCTGAATTCAGACATTCACGTTTGCTGGAAACGTTGGTTGAAAAAGAGTTTAGCTAACTGGTCTTTTGTAGGGCCATTTTATTTCGAACTACATTGCCATCAAATGTATTATATTAACAAAGTTGACCAAAAAATTGTCCTTTAGGGCTTATGAAAGTTTTTATCAATGCTTAGAGTAGCAGGAGGGTGAACTGGAAGGGAAAATTCAAGTGCTTTGAATGTATACCATTTCGGGCGTCAAGAAACTGCTAAAGAACATTAATTAAGATAACAACAGCAGCGTCAAAATCGAAGAATAAATAATTAATTAGGTTACAGATCAGCTGTCTATTATAACTCTGACATTAATTATTCAAATATTCCAGCTATTTTAATGGGTACAACAATATGTATTTGTATTTATTGTGCCACTCAAAAAAGAAGAGATAAGGCACCAGGACTTGATTACTTTGGTTGCTAAAATTCGTGATTAAAAGAAAAAGTTGAATATTATATATTTTTAACTAATCTTTAAGCTTAATAGATCCACCCAATAGAACTTTTCATATATTATAACGTAAAAAATTGAAATCAACCGCTCTTATTCAGGGCCTACAACTATGTTATGGTGTAATTAACACACGCTACTTCTTGCTATTACTATATTTTTTACTTCCTTACAGCTTATTCGACAAAAACTACATGAATTTCAAACAAAAATTTTTTTATTTAAATGTTTTTACTTCGAGAAGTATTAAGAACAGATACAAAACTTTAATTTATTGATAAACTTAAAATATTTCACATTACGTGTCAATATACTAAGGTGCTCCACTCAGCGAATCTTGGGCGAAGCCAAGATGAAACTACTAGTTTAATTACTATTAATCGGCTAATATTACCAAAAACTTAGATTTTTAAACTTCTTTATCCAATAAAAAAAGCTTTAAAGCTCATTAAAGTAAGCGATGTACCTTGTTTGACAAAAATAACGTAAGAGTCTGTTCAAGAATCTATATTTATTTTTAAAAAAATAGTAACTCAGTATTGTGATGAGTTTGATAAGATTATATGTCTTAGACGCATACCTTCTAAAGTTCTAAGTATAATTTCCAAAAAAAAGGATAATGTAAGGCAGATATTTTAACAAAATATTTAAAATTGTGAGATCTACAAGTAGTTGACATTTAATAAGCTCCTTTTTATTATGTTGCAAGCTTGTATCACTGAGCTATAAGAGATTTTTGATTTAGAAAAAACAAGAGTATTATCAATGCTAAATTAAAAAGTTGACATAGGCTAGTTGCCTCAAAAACTTATAAGAGCTCAATTCTTCAATCATTACACTTTATTTTTGAAGTCCCAAAACAAAATCAGGCTTACGACCTTGTACTTACTTTCTATTTGGACTTGAATCATCCTAATGCATTAAATATTAATGTTATTAATCGATGGGTAAGTATTATGTCAAATTATTATACATTGACCTGTTCCATCTAAATTGCGCTATGTATATTTTTAATAGAAACGTCGCGCTTATTTTTAGAGTGAAAATCGCTGGAGTGCGAAAAACTTTGGCAATTAAAAATTACAAAGCAGTAAAAAAAGTTATCCACTTCGGCCAGGAGTCGAACCTGGGCCTCCTTCTTGCCGGGAAGGTGCGTTAACCAATTTCGCCACCGAAGCCTCGGCGAACACCCTTCTCCGCTGCTCTGCTTAGGCGTGTCTTTAAATTGAACGCCGATATTATAGATATTGATGTTATTAATCGATGGGTAAGTATTATGTCAAATTATTATACATTAACCTCTTCCATCTAAATTGCGCTATGTATATTTTTTATAGAAACAACGCGCTTATTTTTAGAGTGAAAATCGCTGAAGTGCGAAAAACTTTGTCAATAAAAAATTACAAAGCAGTGAAAAAAGTTATCCGCTTCGGCCAGAAGTCAAAGCTGGGCCTTCTCCTTGCCAGGAAGATGCGTTAACTTACCTACCCATCGATTAATAACATAAATATCTATAATATCGGCGTTCGACCTAAAGACACGCCTAAGCAGAGCAGTGGAGAAGGGGGTCCGCCGAGGCTTCAGTGGCGAAGTTGGTTAATGCACCTTCCCGGCAAGAAGGAGGCCCAGGTTCGCTCCTCGCCGAAGCGGATAACTTTTTTCACTGCTTAGTAATTTTTAATTGACAAATTTTTTCGCACTCCAGCGATTTTCACTCTAAAAATAAGCGCGTTGTTTCTATAAAAAATATACATAGCGCAATTTAGATGGAAGAGGTTAATGTATAATAATTTGACCTAATGCATTAAAGTTACAGAAAGAAAACAATGCGCGAATGAGTTAAAAATGTCTTATGATACCGTCTAATGGACTCTCAATCGTGCACTATTCCAACATGTTTCCAATATCTTATAAACTTACTTTCTTAAGTCAAAGACTATTCTTATCTTTAAATATTTCTTAAGATGTCGGGAGATTTGAATTTTTAAATAAGTTCTAATTTTTACCTCTACAGGAGAACTGATAATTGGTGGATGAAGACAATCGTTACAGCACTTCCAAAGCAATGACAAAAGAACTCTTCCTGGGGATATACTTTCTCGCTGCATTTTGAGTTGCAACTGACGTCGTTTCAACTGAAATATGGAAGATAATTTTTTGTTCAAGGCAAACATTTTGAGTCATTAATTCAAACATTTTTTTAATACCATGATATATTTCAGTTATAGAATAAAATACATAATGAAAACATCATCGTGTTGTAACTCTTTTTTTTTCAAAAGAGAAAAAAAGCAACAATATTTAAACTACATTTATTCAGTTTATAATACACCATATGTTTATGTTAGCAAACATGTTATAATATTGTGCAATCTATTAACAAATTTATGGTTAATTTTTAGTTCAAATGAACATTTGGTTTAAAGAGGGCTTCCGAATAAATAACAAAAATAGTAACATATTAATGCTGTACACAGACATACGTATTATTTTGTTTGTCCTACTATATTCATCCCTTTTATTGGCAATTTAAAAAATTCAACATGCACACGGAGAAAACGAATACGTAAGTGTTCGCTGTCACAGCAACGTTAAAAGTGTAATTAAAGTTTTCACTATAATTTTTACCGCGGCTTCACGGTCATTTTTCTGTAGCAGAAAATTTATCCCAAATAAATGTAATTTTAACCATGAAGCTGTGGTAATATTTTTTATAACTGAGAAAAAACATAAAGTTAAGCTACTGTTAAAATCATAATGAAGCTTTCTCGATCACAACTTTATCGTTGCTTTTGCGGTGAAAATTAATTTAACCTTTATTTCCGTGCAAAGTATTGCGAAAAAAAACTTTTTATTTTTGTCTATTAGATATGTTAAAAAATAAAAAAATTGACGTGTCAGCTGAATACGTGTGTTAAAATAGTTAAATTAAGAACAAAAATTTATTTATAATGAAAGCAAACTTAGGTGGTTATCAAGACAACTCTTACTCTTATTACCTATTCTATATCGTTTACAATCTTGACAATGTTGAACAACCTAAATCAAATTTATATAAACCGATATAAAATAAAAAGAAAACTTAAGCCTTTAGAGCGCCCACGCTTTTAGATATATTAAGAAAAATGGTCGTACATAAATAAGGTAAAATTCCGGTTTTTTCTCTATTATTGTACGGTATGACATTTTTTGTCTAGATCGATCACCGTCCTACACCAACTCCCTACAGCCCCGAAAGACCCTATGCAATATTTTTTGACCCTCTACCGACACCCACATGATTTCAGTTAGATCCTTTCGACTCCTACAAACTTTTACAGACTCCAACATACCTATATAAGGGAACTTATGCAGACCTTACCTACTTTATAGATGTATATTATTAACTGTTACGTCAGTGCTATCAATTATTTGAGTCTAAGCTTGGCGCTTAATAACTCGGGGTTCACACTCAGCGCATAGGTGGAGCGCAGAGCTAGAGGATAGCTTAATTACGTAGTGGGTTATTTAGAACGGGGCTACGAATGTTTTCGAGTGAAGAAAATCAAGTTGCAATGACTCGAAGCGATTATTGTGCAGTCTCCCAATTCATGCGCGATCTAAAAACTATCAGTACTGTTATTTGTTAAGGTTTCGTTCTCAAGGTTAAGGAAAGGGGCTAATTCTGGTTTAATTCGTGACCAGTCTATAATCCACCAGTACCACAACGAGTTATGGTGCTTGTTCTAGATTTTTACGTGTGGTTCAATCAATTATTCATTTCCCAGAGTTCCGAAGGTACCAATACTATTGCAAGTAATAGTGTGCACGTTAATTCTATGCCCAAGCTGGAAGGAAAAAAAAAATTAGAAAAATAAAACTAATATCGAATACTTATTTTTATTTTCAAAGAAAACGCTTATACATTCGGCAAACCAGCGCAGTATGTCCAAACCTGACGTTTTTAGTATTATGTCATTTAATCCTAATCTAAATGTATTAGTTCTAAGTTATTCTCAGTTAAACTTTTTCATCTATTGGTTCTTACAGTTATTTCGTTTCTCTGCATTAAAAAGTGTTTCGTTTGCTTTTCAATTTCAGTCAGCATAGGTCAGCGGGCATGTGCATGAATCATAGTTAGTCATTGAGCTGCAGCTACGAGAAAACTTGCAGGTGATTCAGTTCTTTTTGCGTGCACATTGACCTTCGCTTTATATACTTTTAAAATAACATGAAAAATTCCGAAGAAATAAGCGGGAAAAAAAAATTATTAGCAATTGTAGATTACCAAAATTTCATCCCCCCTCTTAAAACTGGTACTAGGGCTTATGACAAAAAGGTTTAAGAACAGTTTGCTGAGAATTAATTACTTATTTACCTTGTTCACAGTACGTTTAATTTAATTTACATACGAAGATTAGTGAATTCTCATTCACTTATGATTTATGTTCATTCGTTGGCCTGAATTTACCATGTGTGCATCTAGGTTTGGTAAAAGAAATCAATGAGAGATCCTGTGGTGACGGAAAAACAGCAATCAAAACCTTTATCAGGACCAATACTATATTTAGGGTTAGTAACACTTATACATGTCATTGTGAGAAAAAAATTTTTGATTTTTGCTTACATATGGGGCTGTACCTCCCCCTATCACCCCCTCCGAGAACTGGGATAAGAGCTTTTAATAAAGACCTAGAAATAGTTTGCTAAGTAAATTGTATTAATTCTTACTGGCTCGTGATTTTCTTGAGATATAGAAACCGCATGTTTCTTTATATTCAATTTGATGCAGTATTACGAATTAAAGGAGTATCGTACATTTTTTGATGATTCTTTTTGTTAGCCTGTAACATATGATCACAGTCAATTGAACATAAAATGGCTTCTTTTGTTGCGATCATTTAGATTTTATGATAACACTTGGTTAAGGGAAATAGTTTTTGCTTTACTTAAAATGATAGCGTGGGCTTAGACTAGGTAGTGAGGTTGTGTTATAATGTGACGTGGGTTCGTAAAATTTTCGATTTACTCTTGCAGTAATTTTTTTTCTCTAGACTTGTGAGGCTTAAAGTTCAGAGCTTTTTTCGCACATAAAGCACTTTTAATTATGTAGGTTATTACACACAGCTTAGTACGATGAATGTTTTACAAACAATTTTTGTGTTTGATTTTGATTATCATCTTGAGTTGATAAGCTCTTGCTACTACCCAGTTAATAGTTTTGCTGAAATGATAACTAATATTTATGGTGATTTTGGTTGTTCCTACGAAACCAAGATTTGCTATGGCTTATTAGTTAAATGAATCGTGCGGCTAACTCACTCATCAATTTCTGCTTGTGTTAGGATCACTGTACAAAAAGGAAACGAAATCACAAAAAATCACAAAGGGTACGAAAATCACAAAATTCTCGATCAATAACAAAACCTTCATAGAGAGAAAAAGTAGACCAAAAGAAGGATGGTTGCATGAAATATTAAGAGAAAAAAAAGTAAAAACTAGGCTTCGCACATGTAAAATAGAACTACTGTTTTCGTCCTTTAGTTTGCTTTTACTTATTACCTTAAAAAAGGTCAACTTATTTTATTTATTCGTGAGCAATTATTATTAAAATACAAGAAATAAATTACTCATTTTTCATTTAATAGTCTTCACGCTGCAAAATAGCTTTTCTTTAAACAATGTTTTATGTGTATATATATGTATATACCATCGTGTATATCAAGTCGTTCAGTTATTGATAAAAATGAAATGAATAAAAAATTAATTTAACATGACTTATCTGTACATAGGTTCTACGTTATGGATTTATAATTAAAATGAGCCTAAACTTATTCACAATATAAATTTATATCGTCACCTAAGCTTGACGAGGTGTTGGTTTATTTTTTGCCATACATAAATTAGATTTCTTCTGAGCTTTTCATATTGTATTATAAGCTTCTATAGCTTGTTCAAGGTCTCTACGTACCTAAAGTGTTTATTTTTCAACGAGTTCATTGAACCAAAATATGGATCAACACGTATCTATACATATATAAGACACGGAAAATTCACGGCAAGTATTATGGTGATTTGATAAATGCAGGTCTATATTATTTTATTATATTATCGAAATCATAAAGTGGAGCGTTCTAAGCAATTTCTTCCTGCACGGAGTATGGTTTGTGTTTATGTATTGGATATATCTTTTCTAATTTACTAGGAGATGATTTGGAGGAGATCAAGATAGGGTAGAAATGTTCTTGGTGTCAGCAATACTAGTGCTTTCACGCGAACTATTTCGGAAGGGTATTGGAATATCTTTGATGGGTGTACTTATCTGATGTGTGTTGTTATGGTTTTATCTCACGGTTGGTCTTCACTCTCGTTGTCGTTTCGTCGATGACTCAACGATGATTCTATTTGTAGCGTGTAATTACCTTCTTTTTATTTTGGAAAAGAATGAAGGTGCTAAATATATGTATGGAAGGTTGAAATTCAGGGTACGAGCCTAAAAGTCATCCTTACGACATTCATATGTTTACCAAAATCAAATAATAGACACAAATGTTTTAATATTATAATCAAATTTATGATTTATTAAAATTTATTAATTTTCATGTAATATATACAAGTTTGATCTTATTCAACAACGTGCAGAGCTAATATTATTTATATCTGTTCTATTCGCTTGGTTTTGGCAGAGCCACAGAAGAAGGACAGCGAGGAATAGGGTACGAGCCCACTTCTCTTTATCGACTCCTTACTGAGACTGCTGCTCTAGGCAAATTCATGTTCACTCATCGCCTCGGTTTTCTCCCACTTAATACAATGCCTCTCCTTCTTCTACAAAGTCGGGAAATTTTATTTTATACATTACATGAACGGTTTTTTTCTTATTTTATGCTTCAAAAATTATTCTTATCATGATTCATAATTCATATCGTAAATGAAATTTTGTAATTCAACTTTTGTCATAATATGTTGGATTGTATATACTGCGTGAACGGAATTTTCCGTTATAGTATCTAATTTTTTGGTAGGTAAGGTATTTTTACTTTTGGAATGTAATTGACTTCTGCTTGGTTATCGCAATTAAGCATGGTAAATAAAAAATTTTCCTATCTTGGTTTCCCTTTGCTTGTAGTATATCTTCTGTCTTACACTTAATTTA